GTCGACCGCGCTTGTGTCTTTTATTGAGTGGGCTGCAGAAACTTTCACGGTCGACCGTCACGGTCGACCGTCAGCTCAAAAATTCCCACGGTCGACCGCGTAAGTCTCTGAAAGTTTTCTGAGTTTCAAAGCTGGCTCGCGGTCGACCGTAAGTTTTCCACGGTCGACCGTCGTTCACTCCAACGACTCTTTTTGTACAGAATCGCATTCCTGATTTTCTGGGATTTTTGTTGTTTTGTTTGGGGTTTTGGCTGTTGGTTTTTCTTCCTATATAAACCCCTCAACCCCTCTTCTACAGACATGAATTTGGAGAAAGTTTTAAACAAGTTTAAGAGGGTTTTACAGTTTGTTTCAAAGTTGGTTTTTGTTTACAAAGGAGGAAGCTTACATTGCAAATTGAGGGATTCGTTCTCAATCTTATTCATCCTCTCCTCTAAGTTTATAGAAAAGTTTTCTAACTCTTTTCTCTAGCAATTTTATTATTGATTTTCATATTCTTATTATTGCTAGTTTGCTATTTGAGTTAGATTTTATGTTCTCTTTGTTTTACACACACACAACCATTGAGCTTATTGTGTTTACATTCATAGTATAATTGGGTTGTGGGATTGTGTAACTTAGAGAGTGAGATTATAATTTGTTCTCATCCATTGTAGAGAATAAATACTTCGTATTGTGCTTAATTGTGAGATCACTTTGTAATACACTTGTACACCGAGAGAAGTGTGTGGCGAGAGTCGGGGATCGTCCCAAGAGGAGTGGCGTCGGTTGACGAACCTAGGGAGAGGTTGTATCCGAGCACTTGAGGGAGACACGTCTAGTTCAACACTTGAGAGGGTGTAGAGTGGGATTACAAGAGTGTGTTAGTTGTAGAGTTTTCGGTAAACTAGAAAACCGTATTGTGTGGTGTAAACGTTGTTCGGGTAAGCGTAGAAAACCCGGTTGTTATGATAGTGGAGATCTCCTCGAGGTGAGGAGCGGAGACGTAGGTCGTGTGGACCGAACTCCGTAATCATATCGTTTGTTTGTGATTGCATTGACGCACTTACTTTTATGTTCATATCTTATACTGCCTTTGTATATTGCTTGTTGATTATATTACCCACTATCTAATTTAGATTGTTTACCCTTGTGATTATATATCATTGCATATATCCCATAGTATATCTCTTTGCTAGGATATTTACCTTTGTTCATATTATTTATCCTAGCTCACATATCTTGTTGTATTTCATACTTGCTAGGATAACTTGTTAATTATTTTTAATTAACATAAAATCGGATTAGATTAGCATAAGATCCTAATCACCCCCTCTCTAGGGTCAAACAGGTGGAGGTAGCCGGAAAAGAAAGTCATTATAGATTGTATCGTATTTCCTAGAGAAATTACGTGCCTATATAGATTTGGGGTTTTTTGAGGAGCAAGGGGAAGAAATGTAATTTTGAGCCCACCAAGTAATTGGGAGGAAGAAGAGAGAGGGCCAGCTGTCAACAACAGAGCTTGACAGCATTTCAAACCCTAGCTCTGCAATTTTTTTTAAATAACAAAAAATTAGAAAATTTAATAATAATAAAAACGAGGAATAGCTGAATCAAAGTCGAGATTGCCCTCCAGCGTTCGAGCTATCCTTTCCTGACCTCTTCTACCATGCGTGAAGGCGACGTTGATCAGCGGTCCCTTCTAAAAAAAATCTCTAATTACTGATAAAAAGATGGAATTTTGAAAGCCAAAGTACTTAAAAGCACCCAATTTGACAACAAAATTGCGGAAACCCTACGGACCCAGTTTCACAGAGACTGAACTCGCCTGCAATGGCGATGAAGGGGGCGAGCTTTAAAAGAAAAAATAAAAAATAAAAAATTTAGTGCGGATCAATTAAGAAAGGTCGCGCCTTTTTATAATTTGGAGTTGGCGCGCGCGTTTGTTCCCAAAGGAACAGGATAAGTACGGGGAACGGGATAATGACTGGGGATAGAAATAAGCATTTGGGATGAGGATGGGAGGAATAAAATTAAATTAAATTAAAATATACGGGTGGTGGCGTAGGTTACGCGTCGGTTACCCTGAGGGATATTCTACGGGATGTGCCCGCGTTCCAAACGCGGCTCCCTGTTTTGCTTGGCATTTTGATCCTCTCCTCATGAATCTCTTCTAATATTTCCTCATAAATAAATCATGGCCTTTCATTTCATGATCGACAGTGAAGATTAACTTTTTTAGAGTGAGAGGATCTCAACTTTTTTGCTTGGTGGCTAGTTTGCAGATACGCCCTTGCAGACGTGAAAATATGCAGTCAGTGCTGTTCATTACTTTATTTAATTGAGTACCAATTTTATTCATCACGTGGAGCCTGAGTTTGGAAATTTTAACTATTTCATTTATCATTCAAACCACTATGCTCATGTAGGAGTGATTAATCTGTGAGGTTTTTGCTCACCTCTATTTTTATTGTACATGAGAAAGATTTTATCCTCAGATCAGTTCACGAATGTCCTAATTTATTTACTAATCTAAAAACGGGTATATCCTTAATACATTATTATTGCAGGTGTTGTATCATTAAAGACTCAAATTGCACAGTGAGACGAGTCAAAGAGTTGCGTGATAAATGATCTTGGCAGACCCTTTATTTTAGTAGGCAGGCTTGGAGAAAAAGTATGATGTATGCATAATGAAAAATGATTTAATGACCCAAAATATGGGACCAAGAGAGGGGACATGTGAGGTGTCCCCTCCCTATTACATAATGAGTTGGCATGGCCAGCTCATTATGCAATAGGGAGGGGACACCTCACCTGTCCCCTCCATTGGTCCCATATTTTGGGTCCCCGTAGCAGCACTCGTGCATAATATATAGACAGTGATTTTATTTCTGTCAAATACTAAAACCATTCCATTTTGAATAATAATTTTCATAAGGGCGTGTTTGACAATCTCTCAAAACTGGGTCAGGTTCAAACTTGGTCAAGTTTTGAAAGATTTTTTGTTTGACAAACATCAGAGTCAGATCTGACCGTGTTTTATAGGCCAATAGTGGCATTAAACTGGTTTTCATTTGGACCAGAGGGTGCTGGTCCAAATGAAAACCAATTTAGCACAAAACTGGGTCAGAACTGGTCCTAGCCCAGTTTTGTGTAGTTTGACAAACTGACCCTAAGTAGTTAAAAGCAAGAGGTCATATGTGCAAATTTGTCGTTTCAACTTGCGGTAGTTGTTAGCGCTCACTAGAACAAGCGCTCTACACATTTAAAACTTTAACTAAAATTTAATAAACCAAGAATAAGCTGCAAGATTCCACACTTTTGGCCAATGATGCACCAACTTTTCTATGGTAAAACACTATAACTACATATGTCTACATCAGACATATACTCAAAATGAATTTTAAGGATGCATACGATATTCATGTTTGATATTTCTTGGATTCTATCTATATCAAATTGCTAGCGAAATTTATGAGTAGAGAGAACTCGCAAGTTGTTTGTATGTATTTAAATTATGAATTAATGTTGATTTTATAGGTTATTTGACGGATATTTGCTTAAAAATAATTTATATGCAGATATGCGAAAAACTTCACAATTGGTTCATGATTCGATTGTAATTTTTTAACAATATAATTAAAATAGAATATTATTTATTTTTCATACAAATGAATAATCTGATATTTGATTGTTTGATTTATATCTCTATATATTTTCATATCTAACATTTATATCTACAGTTATAAATATAAAATCTAATTAACTTGTAGGCTCCTTGTCACAGGGACCAAGCGAAGTTGGACGTCTACATAACGTGTGTTTAATAGTCTGAATTAAGCACTGCATGTGACATGATACAAAATATACATGTTAAATGTGATGTTTATAATAAAGTTGATCTTATCACATGCCTACTGATTTAGAGTGGATACAAACATTATTCAAATTGGGATTTATCTAAAATTATAACGTCATGTTTCATTAGTACGCTAAATCCAGCTAAACCCAGAGCATCATTATAAATGTGAGATGCAATGAAGGATATACCTTTTGTGCTTCTTGTTTGGTTGAAGGGGAAATAAGAGGAGACATATGACTTTAGTTTAATTTTTAATTTCTCTCGCCTCACTTTCGTGTGGCTCCGAAACAGGGGAGAATTTTTCTTTCTCTACAATTCTAGTTCATTTGACACTTTCTCTCTTCACCTTATTGTACACCACCTTACCTTCTACTCCGAAAACCCTCTACCAAACAGAAATTCTTTGTCCTTTACTTACTCTACTCCACAAAATAACAAGCATAAAGGTAGAAAAAAAATTAAATCTTTCCTCAAGGAGAGACGCGTACAAATTAAGGAAACTCTAGAATCTATTTGTTCATTTCCTCATTAACAGGAGACTAATTTAAGTAACAAAGGAGAGACGGGAGAAATAATCATCGGATGACACCTTTCTTTGTACATGTTGCGTAAATCTACGTGAATGTTGTTGGTTATCTTGTCTTTCTTGACTACAAATCTTAATTTCAAATCTCACGTCAATAATCAGTGGCCTAATTAAAGTAAAGAAGCTGCATGTTTTTTCATTAATTTCAAAATATTAAGGTATGCAAAATAAAGATTACATTAACTTTCCCATTCGAAAATTTGATTCTATTCTTCCCCTTCTTCTCCCTTCATTTTGTGAAGAGAGAAGAAGAAAGAGACGAAAGGGGTAAAAACCTATTGAAAAACCTAGAGAAAATTAAGAGAAAAGTGAAGAGAGAAAAAAAAAGTGAGAGAGAGAGAGACCGAAAGAAATTACATCCCTCTTAATTAACGTCATTATTTCAATTGGTTAAGATTAAAACTCGGCTTAATAATCTCTGGGCAGACCGAAACATTCTTTCGACGTGGAAATAAATGCATGCTCATATCCCACTGATAAACTCTCAATGTAGGTAAAAGATCTGTAAGCTGCTTCCATTTATACCATTACAGTGATAAGCAAAATAAAATCGTTCAACGGAAGAAAATAAACAAAACAAACAAGAAGCAAATTAAGAAGAAGAAGAAGGAAAGGCTGATGACATACATATTATCATAAAATACGTCTAGCCCTTCAATTTCATATACATATGACAAAAAAATCAAAATTCAAAAATAATTTCACAACATTCTCGTGCTGCTATTCAACCTCCCCCACCATTTCTTTTTTGCCTTGTCCGAACAAACTTCGTCACTTCCCAACTTATGAATTACAACCTTTGCCTCTCTAAGCCTCACGCTGTAATCCTTCTTCCACAGTTCAAAGTTCTGCTTGAGCCTCCTCAGCTCTCTCTCAGGGTTCAAACTTGCCTCTGCCTTCCCTGACTTGACCTCGATTAGAAAACTCGTGTCATCACCAAAAACCTGACTCCGTTGCTCAAACTCCTCCGCGAGGCGACTGATCACGTTTAGACTCGCGCTCATCTCTCTTGGAGTGAGTCGAGATGCAACGTGGGTCCCGTTGCTATCCCAGCTTCGGTCTCCTGAAATCAGGGGCGAAGTCAGAAAATTCAACCGGGTAAGGCACACGGTTAGAGTAAGAGTTTTTATAATGAAAATGTTAGGCATGTGTTCACTTTTATAACCCAAATTGCATCCCCTTTTTCATTTTGATACCACACAGTACTTTTAAGACTTTGAAATCGCCAAGTTTCGATTCCATTTCACTTTGATACCCTACCTTAGATTTCGATTGACTTCGTGTTAAATTTGTCTTAGAGTTAGGTCCATTCTACCAAGTTGTTAGGGATCCAAATAACCAAATGTGCAACAGATGACATATCACGTGCTTAGCACATTAGATAAATTTAATTGAAAATTTAACGAGATGTGGAAGGGGATATCAAACTGAAATGGGATTGAAACTTTGGGGGTATTGAAGTGTTGAAAAATACTTTGGGATGGTGCCAAAGTGAAAATAAGTCAAAATATTACTGAAAAACATTAATTGCAATTTTCAGTTTTAAAAATAAAGGGTTCGATATTAGTCCCTTAAATCTTTAGTAATTTGGTAGTAATTTGGTTTTAGTCCCTCAACTTGAGTGATATTTTGATATTAGTCCCCTAAATTGCCTTAATCTGCTGATATTAGTCCTATCAGTCAGTCAGTGTTATAACTTTGGAGGAATATTCTGTTTTCTTTAGCCCCACCAATTAAATGGACGTTTATGTCCCTCACCTAACAAACCCAAGCCCACGATTGCTAAATCCTAACCTGTTAAGAGCGCCCAATCCATATCCGTTAAATGAAATCAAAGCACATTCACCTTTCTTCTTCCCCACTTTCTCAAGAGACTTTGGGTGGGTGGGTGGGTGTAGAGTTAAAAAAACCCTTTCTCAAGAGCACATCGTGAACTGGAGACAAAAAGAACGAGCAGGTGAATTAAACTGGTGAGGGTATTTTGGTATTAGCCATTTATGATTTAGGATTTTTAATAGCAATAACAGAAGGACTTATATTGACATATTAAGGTAATTTGGGAGACTAATATCAAAATATGAAGATGTGAGGGACCAATATCAAAATGCTAAATTTGTAAGGGACTAATATAGAAAAAACCCACAAATAAAATTAATAAGTCAACATTTTCTATTTGAAATTTTCCATTTTCGTTAATTGCTTTTCACAATGAAAAGCATGTGAAAATTTTATATAGTTGAAACCGAACCTACCTAGCTCCACCCCTGCTCCCGATGCTTCAGATCTTCTTTCAACGTCGTCCAAGGCCAGACTTTTCTTGGCGATGGAGAGGCTTGATTGTAGGGATTTCATCTGTTTCTGCCAGACTTCTTCCATGGATTTCATCTTTTCTTCGTATTCTGACCATCTAGCTTCGTACTGGTGGAGTCGTTGATGGAGGATGTCATTCTCTTCTTCCTTTTCTCTTAGTGCAGTTTCAGCTTTTAGGATTCTCCGTTGGAGCTCAGCCAGAACGGATGCCCTGACTGGCACCTCGCCAGGCTCAGTCTCCTGAGGGATATAAATGGTCTATAAACAAGTTGAAGATAACAAGAAAACAAACAATATGAATGGTAATTGGTAAACCAACAAAAAGAAGCAACAAAAACAAAGCCTCTATTCCAAAATTTTGGGGTCTATAAATCATTTCCTTCCATTCAGTTGTACTTAGGCCGACCTCAGTTAAGTTAACCATTACTTAATTTCTTAAACATTATATCAATCTTAATTGCTTCAGTTAACTTAACCATTATATATCAATCTTAATTGCTTCTAACCAGTTTCTCTTAGGTGAGAAACAAATAATCAAATATAGACCGTGGATTTTGAAATAAGAAAATTATAAATCTGAATGGTGTCAATGTAGAAGTTATCCGTTCTAAATTGCAAAAGAAAATTTCAGTAAAAAGAAAAACCATGTATCTATGTACTTACCTTAAAAACATGTATTTGTATATTGCAAAACAAAATTTCAGTAAAAAGAACCGTTGAAGTTATTCATTCTATATGGTGTTATATGCCAAGTTTCCAGGATCTAGCAAAAGTAGTGTAACAATAGAGAAGCTTGTAAGGATGGTGAACTGTCTCCAAGGAAAGGAGTGTATTTATGAGAATGGGTAGGTAATGTTCAGCATAACTGGATGTTGTCAGATTAAGAAAGAAAAAGCAGTATTCAGTTACTAATTTGTGTTATTGTCCATGTGAAGACAACTTTAAAATTAGGAACTTCATGAAAGATGCAAATTACCATAGTTTCTTCAGCTTTACGGATAGTATATAGTAAACCAAGGTCTCCTGAGCATTTTCGAACAAGCCTTCCACGAATGACTGTATTGCAGAAATAAGCATACTGTGTTAGTGTTTATTCAACAACAAAGACCACTCATTACTCAAGAATCAAAAACTAATCAGAGATGGTTAATTAGAGGTACTTACTGGACTGTATAACTATTGAGGCATCACGCACACTCAAAAACTTTTTCCTACCAATTTTCGACCTTAAATTTCGTTGTAGAACAGTAGCAGCTCGGTGGCTCTGTCTCAAGATTGTATAGGCCTTTCTTTCTTTCTCGCCTCGAATAACTACAAAAAGCAGGATGGAGTATCGATAAACTTTCCACTGAATGATTGAAAGCGCAAGTCAAAATATCATATTTCTAAAAAGGATTCTGGAAGAAAATGTGGTAGAAAGTACATGACTGCAATGTAACAATGCCTTTCCTCCGTTCCTTCACATAACAACGAGCTTGATGTCCTCTGAAACAGCTTTGAACCCGCAGAATCCCATGGAGAGTACGATTTCTTGTATCTTCAAGCTCAGCAATCTACTTGTTACCATAGAGAAAAAGCAGCCAGTCATGTTTTCTGTCACTGAAATGCACTAGGAAACTGTCCAGATGTTGGTCTATGACCTCATAAGCCAAAAGTCTCTAACTAGTACCTAAAACCAGCTCATGCCCGAGACAAAATGCTATATTTGCAACAGAACAACATGCTTTTATCATTAAAAAATAACTATTGTTGAAGGACTAAAACCTTAAATAGTTTAATATAAGAACCTTTGCAGTGGCATAATATGACCATTGGTAAGAACAGAAATCACATAAGCATACAATTCGATATAATTATCTAAAAACTCAGTCTTACCTGTCCAGTTCGGAAAAATAGTTTTGTATAGCCAACTTGGTACATCTCAGGGAGAATGTTAAACTGGTGGAGAATTGCCACTGAGACAGTCAGTGGGTCTTGAGACGCAACATTCTCAAGAAGTAGGAATCCATACCTGGAAATAGTATGCAACAGCAATCTAAGAATAAATGGGATAAATTGCCTTAAGGAGCAAGGAAAATTTGCAAAGTGATTTTTTGGTGTTACCTTCTGGCAAACTTTTGATGGGATATCCTGGTTGGATAGCCTGACCTGGATATTCTTACCACCTCTAGGACTCCGCAACATCTCAGTTGATTTAATACTAGTCCTTGTTCATAAGTTGCAGGCAGTTGCAAGTTGTTTGGCTTAATGCAGCGTATGAAATGAGGAGTTGTTGTTTCTAGTCTCTGCATTAGTTGGAATAATTGTCCCTGATTGCCGACGAAAAAAAAAGAATTAACGAATTAGTCGCACAGAGAAGCATCTTACAGATAAAAGCACCTTGTGGGACAAGAACGTCCCTTAAATTCGTATAGCTATTATGAAAATGCTTTAAAAGGATTTTACCTTAAACTTCGTCGCAACACTCAGTTTTTGGTTATCAGCTCCACTGGATCTATATACGTTGCCCATCACCTTTTCAGAGTGCATAAGCATTTTGGATGCAAATATTTGAGGAAGGTGGCATGTACAGGAAGCAAGTAATTGAATAGAATCCATGTGTAAAAGATCTCGGTTTTTCTCCAGAAACCCTGATGTGTCATATACCACCTGATCAAAGGAGAGAGCCAAATTACTCTAGTGACACAGATGAGTCAATGACAAAATGATTTTGAAAGTGTAAAGGTTATTTGTGGCAACCTCTCCTGCAAAATGAGTGACACTAAATGCTTTCCCTCTTTCTCCTTTGAAGCAAGAATTTGAAGAAAGATGCTGCTTAAGTTTGTTTGCAAAAGTCAAATCGTTACCATTTGGAAAAGTAGACTCCTCATCCAAAAGAGATAATAATCCCAATGGTCTCTGCATAACAACAATAAAGAGATCAGGCCCAAAAAAACAAAGAATCAAAGTCCAAGTGGAGATACAAATTTATGCACTTTCAGATGCAGAAATTTTACAAAAGTAAAGAAAGGTAAAACTAAAATGCGGAACCTCAAACTCTATTAACTTCAAAATATCACCAAACTATATCCCAGTGCTGGAAAATAAGTCCTGGACAATGCAGGAAAGTAAGAATTACACATGCTCTGTTAATAAATGAGGCAGAAAGATGTATTTGCTTCTTCATAGGAGTCTAACCTTTTATGTTTCATAAAATAGGAGGAAAATCTAGTAACCAATCGTCTAAAAAACAGCAAGAAGGTATATATCTATGATCCCTGAGAAGGGACAAGTGATATATGCAAGAGATAAATAATTAAATTGCGTTTACAGAGAAGAAAACTTTAACGAGTGATGGCAAAAAACGAATGAAATTATTCAAGGGACATGAAAATCAGTAGCTTCAAAACTGGTTACAATTATCCATAGTAATGCCAAATTGAAAAGAACTTTAAAGAGGCCTCAGAAAAACACTGAACAAAACTTCACCGAAATTTCAGAGAAAAGTAAAAGTTTAAATGAAAATCATATCGTGAAGTTATGACTGATATAAATTCTAAAATGACATACTGAACGATGTAGTAATCGTACTTTCTCAAAAAGATGCAGACAATCTTGGTTGTCCTCAAAATCCACTTTTGTCCAGTCTATCCCATCTTGGATGTATTCCTGATGATATAAATATGTCAAATGCTCAGAGTATCTCAATACAAAAAATAATACTAACTACAAAAGCAATTGAGAAACAGGCAGGCCAGCAGAACATGGGATGGTAAATAATCCAGAGACAAATACCAAACCATCTCCCAAAGAAACATAGTTCCCTTCTTGACTAGACAACATTTACTACTGCATCTATGAAAGAAAAAGGAAAAATCTCCAAACACATACATCTAAGAAACCACACCAGAGAAGCCATGCGGACTTAATTGTAGAAAGTAAATGGGTAAAGAAAGTCAATGTGTCCAACCAAGTTTAGCATAAAAGACCACGCATCTGGTCTATCATGCAAAAAACTGTGCAGATATAAACATAAAATGGATTTATATTATTGAAGAGGAGATGCTAAAGGAGACAGCAAGAAAACCAGACATTCAAGTATCTATTTACATTTTTCTTGTGTTTGTTTATGATATAATTAAGCAGCAAATCTAATAATATACACATGTACGCACATAAACTCACACCATTAAGTAGAATAGGACTGGATGCTATAACTGAATTCCATGTATTTCTCAATATGAAGGATATATGCAACTTAAAGTTTTTAGTTTTACATGTTTCAAAAACTAAAAATGACATTTTCCATGCTCAAACATTGCCTGTCTGTCCAGAGAAAAGTTACAGCAAAATTTTCTATTGTTACAAGAGGAATTTATTCTAAGCATATCAATGAATAAAACAGAAATATAATAAAATTTCCACCAGAATAATCAGAGGTTCACTAGTACAACCAGTAAAAGACTTTGTCGTGTCCAATAATTCTTGGAGTTAGGCAATACCCAGAGAAAACAGAAACAGCCCAGAACATAGCTTAGTATTACTCTTGTGAGTAAAAGCATACATTCATCGCAAAGAATTTGCAATCGGCCACAGCAATTCAATAGAAGCAACATGAAATATTCGGAGAACTAAGGTTACTGTTTCAAAATTCTAACCAACCTCAGCAATTTAAGTACTTGAGAATCAGAGTTACCTCCTGCTCTAGCTTAAACAAATGGCGATTAAAATGTTGCTGTAGTCTTTCATTTGCATAATTTATGCAAAATTGTTCAAAGCTATTCTTCTGCAAAATTGTAGAATTTGTCATGAGTTTATTTATCAAATTTAGGAGAGAAACACAGTATATATGAAAGGAGGTATTACTTCAAAAGATTCAAAACCGTATATATCTAGAATGCTTATAGATCTGCCTGTGAGACGCTTGCCCACTTCCAATGACTTATTAATTTGCTCAACCAGCCACTCAAATAAACCAGCATACAGAGACTTTGCCAATGCATCCCTTGTACCAATTGCCTACATCCAAGTACGGGAAATCATGCAATCCATACATGAGAATGAGCAAGGTCTTACCACAGAAGCTTACTAACCTGTGAAAGAGTAAGCTTTTGCACAATATTATCGTTGCCAACTCTCATGTTACGAGTTGACAAGGTCAACTTCAAATCCTTAATGTCACATCCAATAAGTTTGGCAACACTGTATGCACCTGTGAAACCAGGTAGAAATTTAGCAGAAAATTCACCATCTTGCACACGGAAGAAATGATAACTGAATGTCATAGCAGAAAAGCTAAATAATGGATATTAACTGGCGTTCTTTTTTAATTGACAAAAACTCATCATCATCAAATATATTTGACTGCATACAGAAGCCTCCAGAGAGGTAACAAAATCCTATTTTGTAAAATGCAACTAATTGCAGCTATACTTTCTGAAAACTTTTCCTCGAGTGCTGAATCTACAGAGATTTAAAATATGAGTTTCTTTATATATTGGTAAAAGAATTTCGATCCCCAACTTCTATGATTATATTTTATTACATTTAAGATAAGTATCCTTCTTTCCTTGTAAAGATTCATGTCCATGTTTGGTAACAATAAATCATGAAGACGAAACTAAAATAATAAGGAAACATATGTTTCTATAAAACTAAAGGTGACATAAAAGAGAGGTACACCTTTGACCTAGTTTCAGCTTCTAATTGAAACAAAATGCTCAATGAACTAGTTTTTGTTACCAAAAGAAGTTAACACATATTGATGCTCCTGAAGAGGAAACAAATTTTTATTTTACTTAGTGAAGTACAACTCTACCTAATGGCATATATGACATTTAGATATTTCCTTGAAATTAGAAAACACCCTAATATTTTAAGAAAATGCCTTTAAAAGATGGGCCAAATTTTATTACTTCCAACTATTTTGATCATATCTTGTTTGCAATTCACAAGGATCCTTCTGACCATGTGACAATTCATGATCCAACGTCATAAACAAATTCATGAACAGAAACTACAATAATATAGTAATTCTAATAATGCTTCTAGATATGAATGGAATTATCCAACACCTGCTGGAACTTGAAATGGTTTTTAAAACTGTGAAATTTTTTATATGAGACGCAGTACATCAAAATATATTTTACTTCATAGATGTCGCAGCTGTAAAGTCCTGAAGTACAATATTATGCCAAATGTGGAATTCTGGCCAAAACAGTAAGGAAAACAGAAAGCAGGACGCCATATAGACTAGCAAACATTTAAATTTTACAGCAAAAATCAAGTGTTCTCTCCAAGTTTTGGTCGATAAATATTGCAACTTTAATACCATACTCGACCATTCTGCTCTGAACCCAGACAAAAAACAAGAAGGCAAACAGAAATCACCCCATGAATAGATATACAAACTTTTTGACTTTTGCAACAAAATGGCAGGGCGGCTCTAATCAGGTTCCTTTAATATATCGTATGCAAAGTAGTTCATAACTTGATGTGTTATGTGGTACAGCAAATAGAGCAATAACTACCTGAAAGCATTTATTGATGAGATAACTGGAAAAATGTGAAAATTCAGGTTTTATAAAATATGGGAAATTTACCTTCATCCTCCACCACTTCAACATGGTTCTCATTATCGACAATAGCAAATGAGATATTACCCAACCATAGAACAGCAGCAAGCATTGCAAATACAATATTTTGATCGCTCTTGCTGATATGGACTACATTCATAGCTGCCTGAAAATTGATCAAGTTAGTGACCACAATAAATATGATGTTATCAATGTGTAGTTCTTGTGCAGAATATAGAAACAATAATAATGAAAAGGAATATATAATTCTGCAGGAAATTCATGGATAGTACCAGAACAGCACGAAATCTTGCAGCGTCATCAACTCCAGAAATCAAAAAACAATTGCTCTGCTTCAAGTATCGGTATTCATCCACACTTTTCAAATTTAGTTTCTCTGAGTTCAAGAAGAACAGAAATTAAAGAGGAAAGGAAAATTATGGTATTGGTATATTCAGACAGAGTAAGATGATAAAGACTTTGTAACATGGTTTTCTTTCAATTACCCCAGGGATCATTTATAAAACCTCAGAAATATTAGAGTAAGATGCATCTAGAATTGATCTAGCCGATATTTAAATGTAATAAACAAAAAAAATAAAAGCTTTAGGGTACCTACTGACAAAGAGTGGTAGTATCACGTAGATAACATATTAAAGTGGTAAAATGTTGCAAAAAGGATGTCAATTACCTCTAAGAGTTGAAGGAGCACCAGCACAGAGCTGATAAAATATGTGGTATGAACGTTCACCTTCAGCACATTGGACCACTCTTGACTGCTCATCATATAAAGGAAATCAAATGAATAACAGGATAAGGCGATATCATGACTTGATGGTTCATAAGTTTAGCCATATACCTTCTCAAGTAGAACTGTTTGTTTTGTTGTTTGAATTGGCAGAGATAACACAAAAATGCAGCTGATATTCAGTTAAAGAGATAGACAAGTAACATATGCCAAAGTTCTCAAAGAAAATCTGAATATATTTCCTCACAAGTTTGAATGTTGGCGCCTGAAATCTTTCCAACAGAGCTGAAATGAATGTCAATAAGCTTTCCCTGCATCCCCAAACAAGAACATATTAGAAAGAATGTCTGATATGAACATATTCCTGAAAAAGAAAACATAAGACACATGAGATCGTGAATGCATGTGTGACCATATCTAATGTACGTGTGTTTAAGACCATTGCTTTTTCCTTGTATAATCTGTAATCTCCTCTGTGTGTGGACCTGTGTGTGGCCATTGCTCTATTATCCTATCTTCTCTATCTCCCGCATTGTACAAGTAATTTCAAAGTATATGTTCCAGCAATTGTGTGCAGTTCTACTTAAAACCAAGATTTTTAAATGTCAGATGTCAGGTTCATGTCGGACAGCTCAAATTCATATCGGATAGTGAAAATTTGGGATATGTCAAGGGACATGTACTAAATATCGGATTGCCATATCGGATAGATTTCTACTCAATTTTGGTCACCAAGATGGAATGCACTTGTCTTGTTATAGCTTATCCTACTTAAATTGAGTATTCAATATCAAGACACAAGTTGTTTTCCATTTCTTGAAGGGAAACAATGGAATATTATGCCAACAAGTAAACAAAATACACATTGTCAAACTAGAATTTTCGAAGTGCCTTGCATAAAATTAACATACAGTAAAGTGCATTGCATAAAATTGAGATAAAGTGTTAAAGACTTTGGATTGATTTCAAGCTACGGTTCAAACTTATTGTATACATCACGCTTTTATGAATTCGCAATTTCAATTTGTAGAGATGAAGACGAACGAGAGAAGATACACTGCAGAAAAGAGAGCAACATTTTTTTTCTTTGCCCTAATCTATATTTTATGCTATCAGGTTATTACAGGAACAAAGGCTAAAAAAGGAATTAATCGGGTTTGTGTTCTGTGTACTAAACCCAAACCTCAATACTTATCAACTCACAAAAAAACAATCGGCCGATTTTTCAAGGCTGAAAATCGGCCGACATGTCCGCAATATCCCCCGACATATCCCACATGGACCTCGAAAATGATATGAATTGGTCATATCTGTGTCGCTCTAACCTCTGTTCCGACATGTCAACACCATGTTTGACATGTCAGCTGACATTTAAAACCATGCTTAAAACTAAAGCTAGCAGTCGAAATGAGTCAGCAGATAGATAGTTCATAAAACATAATTGATCTTGAAAAGGAATAGCTAGTGTATAAGAGCAGCAAACTTACAAAACGACTAGAATTGTCATTTCTTAATGTCTTTGCATTGCCAAACGCTTCAAGTATCGGATTGGTCTGGAGAATTTCATTCTCTATTCCGCTGCCCCCTCCAAGTGCAGCCAAATATTGCATTGCTATTTTTGCTGTTTCCGTTTTCCCTGCACCACTTTCTCCACTGGAGAAGCCCACGATGGTTAGTGAGTTTGGCAAAAAAGTGCCATGTACTTAATTGTTATGGAAATACAATTGTGAAGCATCAAGCATGAGAAAGTTGCAGGGACAAGGATACATATGGAAAATAAACAAGAAAAAAAATGTAGGTCCATACGTAAGGTGGTATTGCATGATATAAGCATGAGTACGCACACATGGCAGACATGACACAAGACAGGCATAGGGATATTAAAAATTCTAAAAAGTAGGACATAGGAACAGCAGTATTGTTAATATGACTAAGTGAGAACTGAGGAGGAGAGAGCACATGACTGCAATCCTCCAAGTGCATATATATCTATAGACATATGCAGTCATGCAAATGCAGGCAGACATATTTAAATTCTATATAGGATGCTATGTAACGTCTGCAAAGACTTTTGTGACTCTCAAATTGGAAAAATTCATTGACACTTTATCTTTCTATAGCATAATTCAACGTATCACGCATGTTGAAATTCACTCTAATATTATCAGTATTCCTATACTTCCATTAAGTATCTTAATGCCTTCCTCATGTAATAAGACTTTTAACAAGAAGAAGGGTACTGGCACATATTTCAATGTGCCAATGATATGAAAGAAGTTTTTAAGAAGCATAAAAATGTTCAAAAGACGTGTTATAGAGGTATCTGAGAAATGTATAAAAAGATTCTGAAAATTATATTATAAAAACTGACGACATATTTATAAGTGTCTAATATGTATCCTTGGACTGTCCACTGATTCAACATAAACACGGGTAGGTGATTGAAGTGTCCATGCTGCATAGACAATACTTATGTATAAATTAGAATAAATAGGTTTCATACATATTCCTGGACTACATGAAACATACAAAGGTTGAATTGCAAACCTTATAATAATTGATTGATTGATTTCATCTGCAAAAGAACAGAAACACAAGTTCATTAAAAGTCATAGAAATTGGCAGGCAGAAATTGATAATATGTAGGCTTTTGCAAACTCACCTCTTGTCATTTCACGAATGGCTGTATCTGCAATAGCATACACATGTGGATGCTCCATCACTTTATGCCTATATGCATCAATGAAATCACTGCCATACAAATGTACATCCTTAAAGGGGTTGATAGCAACTAACACTGGTCCAGCTTTAGTCTGACATTCAAATGCATAACTAAGAGTTAAAAGCTAAAACTATGCAGTATAAATGAGAAACAGGTAGAAATGACATGGTTACTCACATAAATCATATCACGAGCATATCTATATTGCAGATTGTAGAGAACTGATGGTTCATTTAAATAACTCAGTTGCATGAGATCATCTACACCGTCAAGGATACTCGGATTTGCATGCAACAGAGCCTCAGTGATCAGCTTCAGTCTCTGAAATGAAAATTAATACATCAGTTTTGGCAAAACCAAAAGAAAATATTTTCAATTATATCTGATGAAAACTTACTTTCCCATCAGGAAGAGAAATGACAGACTCTTCCTCAGAAGTCAAAAGAACTTTCCCTAATGCCCAATCACCATTAGGAAGTTGACACCAAGCTTTAATCTTCTGAAAAAATAAACTTCAACATGAAAGTCTGCATCAATCAATAGAGAGTATCTTGATCATATTTAAACTACGGAACTAATCAATCAATAGAGCACTCAGAAAGTATCTTGATCTTATTAAGGAAATAAATGTTATCATAAGCCTTCCAAGTAGTATACATCAGAAAAGCAACAATTGATTGAGTAGTTATGTCTGTTACAGTAGAATTACGTAGGATAATGCAAAAATTTGCTCCACAGAAGAATATATCAAAAATCCTTCATTTCTAATAAAATTCTAAAAAACATGAAAGGAATCTAACAGTATATGTTTGCTTCATTTAAACTCCTCGACAACAAAACATAAGACGTTTTAAAATAACACACCTTATGTACAAAATACTCAATTTTTTTAAGTGCCAGGGTCCAGGGTTTCAAAATAGATGAAATTTAATTGTTTGGGGTCCATTCATGACTTTAAAATACAGTTTCAAGGTAATGAACCATGCAATAGATTTAAGATAATTCATGTTAACCTCATATAATATCAGTTACTGAGTCTTATGACTTGCTCGGAGTATGATACAGTGTAAATTAGACAAACAATTAACACAATATGAGCTTATTTATATTCATTTACACCAAAATGAGAACGATTAACGAAAACAAAGCTGAATTCATCCCCAAAACAAGCAAGTTAAATTGAACAGTGCCTCAAATTTGAGAGAAATTACATTTTTGCCACTGTAAGCTTTAAGATCACTCCACCTCGCCGGCGAAATATCATCCCGAGGTGTCGCCGTCCTCTCACTATAAGGCGAATCATCACCCCCATCAGCTGTGGCCGTCGACGTCAAAGACAACGGCTGGAGCGTGAGCGGCACGTGAGATCTCACTCCGGTTCTCTCCGATGAGCTCGCCGGAGCTCCCTGCAGCGGCATTTCGACCGACGCCATTGAAACTCTACGATCCTTCTCGATCTCTTAAGATCTCGGCCTCAGGCTTCGGAAGATTCAAAAAAGTTGCAAATTTGGAAAGTTTTAAGTTTTTAAAACCACGAGATCGCGGTTTGAAACCCTAAAACAGAGACGAGTTTTTCTCCACTCCGTCACATGAAGTGGAGATCTTTCAGTAGTTTAATATAGGAAATCTTTTGTAAAGGCTCTTGATTTGGAACGCTGTTAATGAGTGATTTCACATTTAAGCCCTCCAATTCAAATGCAATTATTTTGGGAACCAAACGGAACCTTCAATGTATTACCTATCCTATGCACTAAGATTATAGTATATACCTTCTTTATTTTTATCAGTTTTCGTACTACCAAATTTTCAGCCTCCCAGACATTTATCATCTCCGACATCAACCCCATCAAAATCCATTAGTTATTTCATTAACATGTGCTGCACCTAGCAACATGCATTTCCTATTAAGATGATCTCTCTTGAAAATAGTTACATACATATATTTGTTTTCAGTGCACTTTTTAGTATTTGATACAAAAATAGTCTTGGAGGGCAATAATTTTGAATAGAAACTTCTCAAATATATTACTATAAATACTTGTAACAATGGAATCACTATTAAAAATTCTAAACATAGAATACTTATCTAATCAGAGTTACATGCAAGCGGTCTTCATGGGCTGAGTGGAGGCCAAACCATGCCTTACATATATACATACATACATATATACAGTAATACATACATATATGCAGTAGGTGACGATGTGATCTTTCATTTAGGACGATTTTAATAGGTGATTTCGCATATATATATCTACTAGTGTGAACACCGTGCAAAACACGACATACTTTTTCCGCTACAGTAATCACGGTTTAACTACTACAGTAATTTTTGGATTGCTACGGTATCTTGCCTTCGCTGCAGTATTCTTATGTGCTACAGGAGTGTTTTTAAAAAACCGCAGTATCCCGTTTTATTTTTGCTACATTAATAATGCTACAACAAATGTTACTGTAGTATTTAGTGTGTCATGTATAGTGACTCTTGGGTTCTGTCATTTGTGTAGAGAAATAGATCTCCTATTTATATAGAGGAGTAGATACATATGTGCGTGTGCGCCCCCCCCAAGTGAGGTGAAGATGTGAAACGACCTTAATAGGTGATTTCGCATTTAACCCCTCCGTTCTAAATGCACTTACATCTGGAAACAACGGAAACTTCTTATTGACCTTAATAGGTGATTTCGCATTTAACCCCTCCGTTCTAAATGCACTTATATCTGGAACCAACGGAAACTTCTTATTGACTAAATTGCCAATGACTTTTTCAAATTGATTGAAAGTTAAGTTTGAGGTAGAAGGGTACAAGGGTAATTGAAGTAGAGCACATGAATGAGGAATAAATGCTGGTATTTTTGGAGGGAGTCTGAGAGAAATATATTTTAAATGTAGACTGTCGGATATTAATCTGATGGCAAGTGGAAGTCTTTTAATTTTTCTTTTCTTTTTTTCTTTTTTTCTTTTTTTTTGTCTTCAGAGAAAGTTCTTCGTATCTCGTTGAAATAGAAGTGTCCGGCAGATGTTTTGTCGTTTATCCGCACGTCTCGTTTTTATTTATTTTTTGTTTTTTTAATGGATTTTGAATCCTCAAGTCTTTGTCTTTTATAATTATAGTAAAATAATAATAATATTACAAAATATGGGAAGTCTCCCTTAACTTTTGATGATTCATATCACTCCTCCTAACTTTCAAAATATCAGAAGACCCCCATAAGTGCAAGGGTTATGAAAAAAACCCTTTGACTTTAAGATTGCTGAACCCTAATTTTCACTACCAAAAATGTACTCATGAGAATTTTATCCTCCAATGTGAAAGTTGTGATTGTCGTTGTTTATGGGGTTTCCTAATAATATCTTAAAGTTAGATATTTTTTTGATAATCCCTAAACTTGAGGGGGTTTTCTAATATTTTAAAGTTATGACGGGTTATCTAACAATCACCCGAAGTTAAGAAGATTTTTTTTGCCTATAATATATTATGGATCCCGTATATGGATCTGAATCCTCTCCTCATGCATAGTGTTTCCTAATGTTTCCTAATGCATTCATCCCCTCCATCACCCTCCATCCCCTCCAATGGGCCCCACATGTGTAAAATGAATGGCCAAGATTGAACATTAGGAAATATTATGACACTATGCATGAGGAGAGGATCTCCTTTCCGGATTGGGATCCTCTACTAATGAGGACCCTTCCTAAGATCTCCTCATAAAATCTTGACCTTTTATTTATCAATCAAAGGTCATGATCTCCTCATGAGGAAAAGTAGGGAGGAGGAAGAGAATGAGATCTTGACCTTTAATTGATAAATCAAAGGCCAAGATCTCCTCATTAGGAGATCTTAGGAGGATCCTCATTAGTAGAGGATCCCAATCCCTCATTTCCCCGTATATGTTGTTGAACAAATAGTCGTATGTTTTCTCAATACTGCATGTTCTTGCTCATGAGTGAAAAATAAAAATGATTGCAAAATGCTATTATTATGTGCTTTTGGATATTTAAGAAAAAGAAACTAATATAAGTAGTAGACTTAAAGTAAAATCGCTACAGGTGACTCGGATGTAGGGAGGCTCTGTATGGCTTTCACGATCTTGGGGTTCAATCCAAGGATGGGTTATCCAAAAAAAAAAACATTAGACTTACTTAGAAAGTTAAGGTCAATTTGTAAAATCTTAAACGCTTAGGTTAAACTAGTTCTTGTGTACATGCAATGTACGTGGTTAAATATCAAATTATTATTTTTTACGTTTATTTTTTCTTACTATAAAATAAGTCACATTCATTTTAAGTTAAAATCTATAAACATTGTTTGTTACATTTTCCATAAATTTTATTTAAATATTTTATGAAATAGATGATTAATTTTGAAAATCTCTTCGGGCCAGGAATAAACAACTAACAAGTTTGTAAAGGAAGATAGGGTAACATAGTACATTTTTAAGAATTATTAATCTTTATTTAGTTTGTTTATAATGATAGGATCTCATTATTAACTAACTACAATGCTTAGTACATTATTTTTTTTGTTGGACGTTCAAGGCAGGCAAAGGACCCATGTGAGTCCTCATCGCAATGAATGTTATACAATTTAAGTACAAAGGAGATGGAGAATATTGTAGTTGGTGAGGGGAAACTCCAGCAGCTTAATTTAGTATTTGGATGTATAATAGATGGAGATGGAGAATGGTGATTTTGAAAATAATGAGTGTGTGTGAGTAATTAATATGGTTTTTATTTGTGTGGTTTTCTTTGTTCATTTTTAAGATATTTGTGGTCCTGTGGATATATATATATATGGGAAAATTGCTTCAAGGCCCCAAAATTGAAAAAACAATGTGCAACAGCCCCCTGTACTTTTAAAGTTTGGTATAAACCCAAAATACACTCCAAAACTTTATTTTAGCCCCTCCAGCTCACTCAATCCTCAGAATCCCGAATCTACCCTTCCCGCCCACTCTGCTACAGCCATCGTGCGTTGGTAACGGTGCCGCCCACTCTGCTACTATCGAGGCGCTCTCTCTCTCCTCTCTCTCCCTCCCGCACTCTGTCTCTGGCTTACTCTCCGACGAAAAACCAAAATCCGCTTCTAGGGTTAGGTCGAAACCAGTTCGCAGATGGAGAAAAAATCGGTGAACGAATACGAAGTGGTTCACCATCCTCCGCCGCCGCTGCAACGTCAGGAACATGCACCAATGAACGACGAGTGAGAAGACTCGCCGTCGCCTTCCAAGACCGACGAAGATCCTCCCTCGCCTTCCAAGACCGACGAAGACCCCCTTTTGCCATCTGAGACCGACCGTGGCACCGATTCTCTCACATCCTCCCCTGCCTCCAAGTCGTCGTCCACCCATGCGTCATCATCAGGGAATGGCAGCACCGATGAAGCCACCCAAACGTTGTTGAGTTTCCAGATGGGTGTAAGGAGAAAAAGAAAAATTACAAGTTCACTAAACGCACTACAAAAATCCATAAAGAAGTAAGATAATGTTATATGTTATATTTTCTAATTTACATAGATGTTAAGGGATTGAAGTTGAATTGTGAACTATATGCCTGGACATTGGTTGAAGGACATGTTAGCTGATACCTTAATGTTAAATGTGAACTATATACCTCTTATTAATGTTAAGTTTGGCTGTTAAGTATTAAGGTTTATAGCGTAACTGTTACAGTTCATTGTTGCATGTTAACTATTGGATGTTGGATGTCAAGTGTTGTTGATGTTAAATGTTTAATTATAATACAGGAAAAAGTCAGGTGCTGCTAAAATTAGACCCACTGCAAGTTTCTCCGCATATTGTAAATTTATGAAAGTCCTCGAACCGAGAATGCGGCAGTGTCATTGGGATGCATACCAAGGGTGTACATTCCAGCATTATGTAAAGTTTGGCCCCCCAGCAAAAGATCGACCCACGCTGGAACTTGTATTGAGACACTATAAGGGTAATGAAGTGGCGTTTTCTCTGCCCGATGCCGAAAGTGGGAGAGAAAAGGTTGTTAATTTTGATTTGGACTGGGTGCATGAACATACAGGTTTCCCAATTGATGGGGAAATAATTTACAATAATAGAGATCCTTACCCTAGGCTTTGGGTGGAGTATTTTCAGAAACATTTTACTAGAAACGGAAAGAAATCAGCGAAGAATATGCGGCGATATGTGGAAGAGCTACTGCAATCTCTTGTTGAATCAAGAAAGAAGAAGGATATTGAAGATTTTGTGTTACTGCAGATACTTTATCAATGTTCATTGATGTGGTGCCCTAGCAGTGTCCAAGGCATCCCAAGGCTCTTGTTCAAATATGTTGATTCAATTGAAAGAG